GGGAGCTTTCCCAAGAGTCCACAATAAAAAAGGATTCAGCAGAAAAAAGCCAAATACTGGTGATCACTGCCAGTACCAAATAGTGCACAACAGCATCAGTCAGATTACGCAAGGCCAATGGGACTGCAGAGACATCAATAATTGCACAATTGCTCATGTACAGTAGATCCTTTACAAATAGGGATGGATTTTGTTTTTAATTAAAAAGAACTTGATTTGAGTACCACAGTGCAGACCTAGTATGAAAGGATTAGCACTTAGCAATACATTTCTGAACTTAAAGCCTGGGGCAGAAGCTGAGCCACTGCCTGCCCTGAGCTGGTACTCAAACTTAAGACGAAACTTCCCCCTTCCCCCATGTTGTTTGGGGAGAAAGAAAAACAAAACAAAACACAAAACTCATCTTGGATTCAAGTAAATACAATAAATAATCTCTACTTTCCTTGACTGCAGACTAACTTTTGCCTCTGATTGGAAGTACTACTACAGCATTATCTAGTTATGATAATTTATTGGATTTATGTTCCTAGCTATTGACTCAGTGCTGCTATTATTGGAGGTGACCACAAGTGGGATCAGGCCCCTATATCAGTCTTAATTAAGGAAGATGGCCACAATGAAAAATATGGACACGAGATCAGACAGTCTTTATCTGATTTTTCAACCCCATTGTTGGTTCCTGCACCCTAATTGTACAAACACTCCCATGTGGTTAGTCACATACATATAGTTGCATATGTGCTTAAGCACCTTCCTGGATGAGAGCCAAAACAATAAACACCTTGCAGCCTGTGGCCCATAATTAAGACTTCTCACTTGCAAAATATCTCTGAGGCCCAGCCAATATCTCTGCCATCTTTTCCCACAAACTACTCCCACTTCCTACACTCCTCCCAACCGTCTCCCTGACTACTCCCTTTGCATCCTTTCATGCCTAGATTTATTCTTGTTTTGTAGTACTCTGTAGGTTCAGAGCAGTCTGTTTAATGCATGCTAGTCAAATTTCTCCCTCTCAAGGGGGAAAAAAAAAGTCTATTGGCCCTCTAAAGCCCAGATATATCACTAGAAGCACTATAAAACTGCTTAGAGAAAAAAACCCTATGGTCCTAAAGACATAAACACGTATAATAATGTTTATATTCTATATATTACAAAATTCAGTATGCAATCAGGAAGCTACATGTTATAAAAATTAACTCATTTCTAAGTAGTAAAATTTCTGCATTATCTGATAAGATGTCATTTATTTCAACCACTGCTCCTGGTTTACAGGATTAGATGTACAAACATATAAGTAGTGTCAAATATGTTACACATACTTTTGCACTTCTTTTAACCTGAAGTATCTTAATTCATGAAACTTTGCAAAGATCCCCATGCAAAATATCTCTGAGGCCCAGCCAATATCTCTGCCATCTTTTCCCACAAACTACTCCCACTTCCTACACTCCTCCCAACCGTCTCCCTGACTACTCCCTTTGCATCCTTTCATGCCTAGATTTATTCTTGTTTTGTAGTACTCTGTAGGTTCAGAGCAGTCTGTTTAATGCATGCTAGTCAAATTTCTCCCTCTCAAGGGGGAAAAAAAAAGTCTATTGGCCCTCTAAAGCCCAGATATATCACTAGAAGCACTATAAAACTGCTTAGAGAAAAAAACCCTATGGTCCTAAAGACATAAACACGTATAATAATGTTTATATTCTATATATTACAAAATTCAGTATGCAATCAGGAAGCTACATGTTATAAAAATTAACTCATTTCTAAGTAGTAAAATTTCTGCATTATCTGATAAGATGTCATTTATTTCAACCACTGCTCCTGGTTTACAGGATTAGATGTACAAACATATAAGTAGTGTCAAATATGTTACACATACTTTTGCACTTCTTTTAACCTGAAGTATCTTAATTCATGAAACTTTGCAAAGATCCCCACGGAAGAACTCACAATGGTCCATCTTGTGACAGCATCAATGAATAATTTCATTAAAACCAAATGAACTTTCAAGGAAAGCATCTGGGATTGCTTCAGAGTTAATATGTACAAATAAACACTTTTTACAATGCAACTTTACAGGTTATTTAAACTTTTATGAATAGCGTTATTGTACTAAGTATTGTTTAAACTTAACTGCAAGGTGTCAGAACTAAATACCAGCTGGATATTAACTTTGGACACGATGACCAAGATTTACTCTCGCCACCCAGAAAGCATTGTATGCATGAATGTACAAAAGCCAAAGAGGTCTTAAGCATCAGCAAGACATCAAAAACTACTTTGCTGTTTTGTTACCGTATTATTTTAAAACAGCCTGTCCAAATCCCTTCAAATCAGCAGTCTACCTATACATGAAAAGCATTCAGATTTCATCAGGAAGAAAAGGAAAGTGCATAGTACACACTGTTCTAGTGTATCAGGAACAACATACCAAACTGTTCAAGTTACCAGAAGAAAAAAAAAATGGGGGGGTGGGGGGGAAATCAGCATATCAGAGCTAAGTATATTTCATCTCCAGACCAAAAGAAAAAAAAAACCTAGGAAGAGTAAAATGCATTTTCTTGGTGGTTAAAGATCACAGAACTGAGACCTGGAGACATGATTGTCTAAACTGGGGCTATCCACCTTCTGAAAAGCCGGGAACCACATCCTACATGGATCACGGGCCCCTGGCCACCACCTGGCCACACATTGCTTGAGCTCCCTAGGATCCCTGCCATGAACCCCAGATACACTGTACCAGCAGTATGAAATCCCTCTGCCCATTACCCCTGGGTGAGCAGCAGGCTGCCTCCAGCTGTGCCCTTGTCCCAGAAACCCCTAGCCACAGCAACTGCAGGAGCAGTGCAGCAAGTGGCAGCCAGGCAGAAATTGGCAGGGTACACATTAACTCCTTCTGCACATGAACAGCCCTAGCTTAAGCCAATTCTTTTCCCTTGTACCAATACAAAAAACACATTTACCATGCCTAATCTTTAGGTACATTAATCAAGGATAAGTCTATTATACAGCCTTAATATTATAACACACAGTCTTCATGTTCACTCTTTCACTACAATACTCTCGGCACGTAGCTACCCACATACATACCGTGGCTGCACTCTAGCTCTTGCATATGCTAGAAACCATTACAAATAGTATGTCTGTTTTCCAGCATTTAAAGTATATGTGGTTAAGTACATAGTGATGCATAGCAAGTAAGAGGTCCCAAACAAGAATGTCTATGCCACATGTCTTGACAACCTCTAATTTTGCACCCTGTTTGTCATGAGAACAGCCAGCCATATTTTACTATAGACAATTTCTTGCAGATGTAAAAGTACAACCATTAAATTATAACCTGGATTAAGGGCTGATTTAAAAAAATCTCAACCCTTTAAGAGTCTGAACACACAGGAGGATATATTAAAGATCCAGCTGACATTCCTGAAGAATTTAGGGAACATTTGAATACAAATCTTGAATCTAAGAAATACAATTCTTTTTTGAAGAGTAGCTCCAAAGAAAGTGTTCTAATATGACAAGCCTGAACCTGAATTTATCTCCTCATACCTCCCAACACCCTTCAAAGGATGTGGCAAGGGTTACTCTAGTTGCGAACCACTATTCTAACCCTTAGCAAGCAGAGTTGAGTTGAAAAAATAAAAAACAAAGTTTTCCACTTTCTGATTCAGATATATATTACAATAAAGTTCATTTGTATACAAGCATTCCCACAACACTCCATTTTGGATTACAGATCCTGCCCTCCCCTCCGCGCCACCCACCAACGCACATGTACAATAAATCTCTGCAAGGCCAAAATTCTATCCTGATCTCACCAGTATAACAGTGAGGTGAGTAACATGAGCCACATCTAAATGAACTATCAAAATTTGAACTGCAATTCAAATTAGCTAAGAATATTTTAAATGATGTATAAATACAAATAGAATTCAATACCCTCTCCCAGAACTGATACTTCTCTAACAGGTGTAAGAATAAATTATTCTTGTCACTAACCTAAAAGAACATGTTGGGGGCTGGTAATCTTTTATAGCAGAACTGCAATTTAAAAACTGCTTTATGTAGAAGGAGCAAATAGCTCAGAGGACTAAGATGACTTCACCCATTAGCTAGAAGACTTCTAATGCTGCAAAGTCTGTACAAATGTAATTCATGCCAAATACAAAGTCTTCAGACATTCTAGTAAAGTTTGAAACTCAGCCCAGGTTGAAAGAAAAATATTCACTGAGAATGCTATTTGAGGGCAGTTGACTCTAGCCAGACACTTCATTGCTATTGACAAGTTTTGACAGACAAAGATTGCATTTGTTGCAACTAGCTCCTCAAATCATTTGAATAGCAGTTAAGAGCACCTATACTGTACAATACCCGTGAGAAACTGGCAAGTTCATTCAAGCATGCTAATGGCACACTGTTTACGGCTACTGTAATTAAACTGCCCTTTTTTATTGTGAAAAAGAACAGATACTTGAAAGGCTTAAGATTTGCCCACATAGCAGCATGGGCTGCTTTTTGTTTAAAAAGCCATGATATCTGCAGCTTCAATGGCATGCAGCTACATCTCTGTCCCCAACCTTTAACAGAAAATTGCATTATATTGCCTATAAACTAACAACCTTCCTTCTGTTTCTCTGACATCTACAGAAACATAGATTGCAAGAAAATGTTTCTCAAGAAAAGAAAGAAAAACTTCAAAGAATAAATGTATGGTCTCCACGGCAACTCTACTTGAGGATTCAACTATTATACAAAGTTAACTTGGCTTATTTTTCAAAAGCATTTCGCCTCTTTTCCCCCCAAGAAATAACTGAACACTCATAGAACAAGTGACCAGTGAGCCTTGGAATCCAGAACCCAAAGAACCTTGTCGGTCAGTGAACCTCATTTCATTTAGTCAGTAAATCACATTACAGTGATACTCATCTTGGCAAGTTTCAAGTACCATGTGATGTAGCAGACATCTGTATAAAGGCTTTAAGAGCAAACCTACTCACCCTAGAGATAGTCAGAGGCATATTGAAGTCTTTGCCACCTTGAAGCCTGAAACCCCAGGGAGCTGGGCCAACCAAAGACACGGTGTAGTTACTCATGATGGTTGATGATTATCTTGAACTGGACCTTGATCAACGACTCTGGAAAATAATTTGATTTTCTTAAAAACATTTAAAATAAATTACAAACATCTTAAATCAAAAAGGCATGGTCAATTATATTCTACATATAGTTTTCTTTATCTGTGCTACAAGACTTTACATAATGAGAAATCACAAGATTTTTCAAAGTCGAACATCATTATTTGTATGCTGGGGATTGGAGGCTATCAGTTTAAAAAACATGAAAAAAATGGAAATAGGCTTTTTTTTTTTGCTATTAGATTTACATTCCGAATCCTGGTATTGCAATGCTTGGTTTTCAAACACTGCACGGGGACAATTAACAGTTATTTTCTTTGGAATTAAATAAGAAATATTTCCGTACTTTTTAAGGTTTTTGAAATTGGTTCTTATAACATTTAAATGTTGAAGCCAATTCAAATTGACAATGTTCTATAAAAAATGTTTTAAAAGACTAAGGTATCACAGAGTGGCTTATTCCTTTCTCACTAAATGCATGCAACATGCTCCTATATATTTAGTTTCAGCTACGAATCAACATTACCTCAAAACTCAGTTCCAAAAGTATGCATATTTTGGAAACAATGCCAAAACAAGGTTTAAGTGTAAAGTTATTTGGAGGAAAACAAGTTCTCACTCCCATTCGCCTTGTAGTGTTTACCTACAATTTAATGTGCATCACACACCTACTTTCAATATTATACTTAATATAATACATTAAATATATTATATTTATATTATATAATTATATAAGTATTAGAAGAAGGTGAAGAAAAATTCTGCTAGCAGAGAAAGTTTTTTTATCAAGTACAAACACAAAGGTAATGTTTAAGGAAAAATACTCCCTTTAACCTCCCCCCCCCCCATACCCAGGTGGTGGATTACCTTTAAAAGGCAAATCCTGCACTTAATTTTTATTCAGCATCAAAGGTAACAGCTTCACATTTCATCTCAGATACGAAACATTACAATGACATCTTAGGTAGTAGCTGCCTTCTATTTTTATATATTGGAGAGAGATGGAGCACACTAGAGGATGGATTACTGTAAAACTACACCAAAGCATGGGAAGATTCCATAGTTAATATAACAGATTTAAGGTGGAACTTCAGTCAAGTAAAAGACTGTGCATTTCAAATATTACCAAGCCTTGAAAGGGTTGTTTTTCACCACACTTTCACCACCACTGGTGTTTTTATTTTGGCAGCAATAGATTTATAGGTTCTCTACTTATCAAGCAATTGCATTCCTATGAAAAGAATATGGTAGTATCTGGGAAGTAGTAAAAACTCTCAGAAGTCTTAGCAATGCATTAGAGTCACCTGTTAAGAGTCCTAGGCTTCATTAAATGAATTTCCCAACACACCACACTGAAAGAATGGTTGTTCAGCCTTATTCCTTCATTAAGGGCTTGTCTACACAACATAGCCTGACACTGTAACACTGTAGCAGCACTACCATAGCTATCAGAAAAGCCCTCTAGCAAAGATGGCACTTAGGCCAGCAGAAGGAGAGTCTCTGTTGGCATAGTTACACCACCTCCTGCAACAACATAAGCCAAGGCAACAAAAGCTGTTTACTACTGACAGCTACACCCATGTTAGGTGTTTTGTTGGCATAGCTATGTCACCTAGAGGGTGTGATCTTACATATTCCATAGCCAACATAGCCACACTAGTAAAACTTTGTAAAGCAAACCAGGCACAAGGGTCAAAACATCCACTGTTTTCATACCAGTACTACATTTAAAATGAGACTACCATAGTAAATGAGACTGGTAAAATAATATTTTTAAATTAGGACACAGCTGTTCAACACCTAAGCAGTCAGGGACCACATCAGCGGGGGCAACAGGCCTGGGCTGCATACCCCCACCTGGTCACACCACCACATGCTTGCTCTCCCCCCTGTTGCAATGACCCCACATGGGTGCCCCCCCCCCACCACTGCAGTGTGTACCCATGTGGGTGACCCCCACCCCACCAGTGCACTGCACACCCACGCCCTCACCCTGAGCATCCCACACAAGCCCTGCCACATTGCACTGCTCCCTGGGGCAGACACAGAACGCACAAGCCAGAGGGCAGAGGTAGACAGCAGCAGGATACTCTGGCTGCTTTATAACCAGTGACAGGAGCAGTGAATGCCAGGCAGGGGCCTGGGAGCCACAGCTTAACTCTCTCAGGGCTCATGCATCCCACAGGCCAACAGCCCTAAATTAGAATTTTAAGCTAACAATACTTAGCTGATACTTATTATTACTTATACTTGTTTCAGTACTAAGGCATCCTGAATTGCTGGCACATATACACCAGATGCCACAAAAAGGGCCAATCTTGAACTCTACGAAGACAGAACTTGGCTTAGTTACTCCTCCTCCCTCTTCAAAGTCTGATCAAGCATAAATCCAGAAGTACAAGTTGTGCCTAGTTCTAAAGTTTCTTTCTCCACCCTCTCATACATACAGCAGGGAAAGCATCTACAAAAGTGGAGATATGATCCTTATGGGACTTGCTTATTACTAATAGTGAGAACCAGCAACTAACAGAATCGCCCTCTCCAGTAACCAACAAGTCCCATATATATACAAGATTTTAACCTATCATGGATTTCACCCCCATAAGGAAGAGAAGCCTTTCTGTTCCCTCTAAATTAAGCTCGCTGAAATTATAGGCCATCACAAACTTAATGACAGTGGAAAAAGTGAACCACATCTCATGCTTCAGGACACATGCTAAACACCAATATGCAAGCTTAAGTGAAACTTTTGCTCCTCCTAAAACAAAATTTAAATGAGTGTTGGTTCCTCCTTCTACCCCTTCCCCCTCACGTGGGGAAAAAAAGGCAGTTAAAATAAATTAAAAAATCCACGAAAAGATACAGTTACGAAACAAGTACAGTAACTGCAAATAAGGGAAAGTCATTTGGTATGCTAAAATACAGTGAACCACACACAGCTCCTTATCCACCCCCCGCTTCGATTCTGCAGTAAAACGTCTGCATCTCATAACCTAGAGCCTTTTTTTAAGATGGAAGGAGACCAAAGAAGGTCCCTATAAAAAACAGATTTGCTGAGCTGCTTAAGCCATCTAGAATACTTAAAGAATTTCTCATGAATGAAGAACAGGTACAACCCAGTGCCCCAGTACTGTCTCAAGTAGGAGTGCAGTGCAATGAAATGGCTCAGGGCTAAATTATGAAACCTTAATTCATGCTGGGAAGTACTCAGTAGCCTTAACTGCAGAAACTCTCTCCACCTTCAGCAAGGGTTTCACAACCTAGTCCTAAACTCAATTTGTGCAAGTCAGCCTCCAGTTGGATGGAACCAGCACGGCTCAACTGCATGTTATAGGCCTGCCGTGCTAATAAGACAACCAAAGGTTTATTCCAGCTCAAGGAACTGGTGCCTGTGCTCCAGGGGAACAGGCTCCTTCCAACCACTACAAACGTGCCAATGCTCATGTGCTAAATAGCTGGTTCCCCTCTTTGCAGTGGCTGTACTTGGTTGTAACTAGAAAGAGTCACAGAACCAGAAAGTTACAGTTGGAAGGGACATCAGGAGGTCATCTCATCCAACTCCCTGCTCAAAGCAGGACCGTCCCCAAGTATATCACCCCAGCCAAAGCTTTGCCTTGCTGGGTCTTCGAAACCTCCAAGGATGGAGATGCCACCACCTCTCCAGGTGACTTGTTCCAGAGCTTCACCACCCCCCTAGCAAAAAAGTTCTTCCTAATATCCAACCTGAGCTATGCAGGGGAGACTTCCCCTTTACAGACCCACTAAATCAGAGATGTGTAGCATCCGCTTTCAGGAGCTGTGGGCCCTATGGGGTATTTACTCTAGATGCGACACCTCCGCAAGCGCACGAGGAGTCAGCGGGTTTGGCTTCCACACCCCGGCCCGGCAGGCGCCAAAGCTGCGGGAACACAAAGCCATATGGCATCAACCCCATCCTGCAGCAGGAGCGAGTTGAAGCTTCCCTGCTCCTGCAGCCACCTGCTCACCTCTAAGCCTGACAAGGAGGAAGGCAAAGAGCCTGGAGCCTCCCA